ACGTTTTCATTCTTTTACCTTTTCCACTAGGATTCCTTTCAAACTCACCCACTCACAACTACAGATGCTCCAGCCATCACTGATATTCAACAATTACAATATGTCAGATGCCTGTCGAGAGCAGGTGGGTTATCATACCAGAAGCTTGTCTTAGTCAAACCTTAGTACTTCGCTTATTTCAGCTTAAACGTCTTGAAGACTATACACCACCGGTTACACTTTCAACACCATTGATTGTTCTTTGCTGTATTCCTGTGATTATTATCATTCTTCTCACTGTTTTCGGCAATTTGTTGGTGCTTTTCTTCAAAGCTCGTGTTGGTCGAACTAACACAACACTTCTTGTTTGGAATCTTGGCCTTACCGACTTTCTTGTCGGCATAATTGTACTGCCTTTGGGAGCCACCCATTTAGCCTATAGAAAGTGGATATTCGGGCGATTTTTATGCCGAGTATGGGTGGCCGCTGATGTCACTTTTTGTACATGCTCTGTGGTAGGTTTCGATTTTCTCAGATGAAGATGCTTTTTTAAAATGCAAAACAATTTCTTGAAATCTATAAAAATCCATAAGCACTTTCCCTGTTGCGCAGATCACTTGAAGAATTTCTTAGTTATAAAATTCCCACGAGAAATTTTGAAGGAAGTTGACCCTACTACCTGATCATCATTTCTTCACTTTCTGAACATAGCCACCCTCAAATTTTATTCACAACTTTCCTTACATGTCCTCGCGAAGGTACGGAAGCAAATTACGTTGAAAAGCAAGATTATTCAGTTATCGAACGTAGTCCTCGGTAGTGCGCCAATTGTGACTCGCAGCCCTCAATATTAGGAATTCTTCGTTTTTAGGGAGACTTCTTTCATAAAAGACTGCAAAAACAGCATGAAAGGGAAGAAAGTGACCCTAAAAATATTGTTGCCGAAAATAACAGTTCTAGCAGATGCATTGCAGGTAACAATCTGCGTAATCTCTGTGGACCGATATTTGGCCGTGACAAGACCATTGAGATATAAATCCCTTGTCACGAAAACAAAAGTCATACTAGTTATGATAATTATATGGGCATTTTCCTCGTCCATACTTCTTACAACTGTTCGATGGGAACAACCAAAGTGCTACGACGATGTAAGTAACTAATATTTACATTATTTCGAAATTCATTTCATTGAAATTAATATTCTTCAAAGTTTTCTTTTCAGTCCATATGCTTCGCTGGGAATGAAATACGTTACCTTGCTCATAGTGTCGTATTTGCATTCTTTCTACCAGCTTCTGTAACATTAACACTTTATTGGCGGATCTACAAACTCGCCCGAAATCGTCAACGAGCGCTTGATCGTGGATTTTTGATGATTCTAGGCCAGAATATGAATTTTCTTTCAAATACCATTAGCCAGCAGGTGATGTCAACGGCAAGTTGAATTCAACTTGTTTTTTTTTACTTTCAAAACAAACTTTCCAATTACGTTTCTTTATGTCCTCAGAATACTAAGTTATCTACAATCTGTCGTAAACACTCATCTATTTTTATCCAAATTGCCGAGATTAGCTCTCCAAATCTTAAGACTT